CGTTGTTCTTCTTCTCGTTGTTTCAAGCACCGGGTCCGCGGGACCCCCATCATCATCTTGTTGTTCTGCAGAGGAAAACTGTGGAGGAGGAGGAGGGAGGTGGGGGGGGGAGGAGGAGGAGGAGGAGGAGGATGGATGGATGGAGAGACGGCGATGTGACGAAAAGTAAACAAACAAGAAGAAAGAACGAGAGAGATGAGATAGGGAGAAGATGAGGAGAACAAAGGTTGAAAATCCAAAGGGAAAGCATGTCCAGATGACCTTGCTTGGTCTCTCGTTGTGTCGTTTATCGGCATGGATTCGTAGCTTGTTGGGTCGATAGATCCAATGGCGCAGTGTCATCTTGATAGCTCCTAGGCTCGAACATACGCATGAACCGCAATCCATCTTGCTGTATTGGATGTGCTCTGAGATGAGGAACAGAGTTCTATTGTGTTAATGCATTCCTTGCATTGCCTAACTAAACAAGTTTTGGAAGATGTCGAGCTTCAGGAAGTTCTTGAGATTCGGAGTTGTCTCCGCTGCCTCCCTCTCTGCGTGCTCAGCGTCTGCACACACTGCCGGTAATCTATGCTTCTATCCTATCCCTCAACTGGTTCCGGGCTTTCTCACTCCCCATCATCCTTCAAAGCACGCACTCGTTGATGTCCCCTTCGCTCCCAATCACTCCTAGCTGCAGGAAAGATCGCAAAGATCTCCGGTGCTGCCTCCGTGTCTCAGCTTCGCCGTTTTGATGGCGTGAACAAGCTCTCTGCCGCCGCTGGTTGGCAGCATTGCGGTGGTTACTTCGCTCTTGTTGACACGTTGGCAGGTCTTCGTGCCATGTCTCTCCGTGGAGGAGCCGCCATGGCGAAGGAGGGAGATGCTGTCCCTTCGGTTGACACTGCTCCTGCCGCCTTCCTCCTTGCCTGACGAGCGTCACCTTGTGTGTCAGGTTGTCTTCAAGTGCCGCGTGCGTGACAACTCGATGACCAACACGGCCAACCCCTTCACCTGGAAGGACGTGAAGAGCGAGGATCTGTTCAAGGGCAAGGTGATGAGATCGGAACCAGAGCATGGCGAGCTGCCTGCTGTTGTTGACACGGTCGAGCGCAGAGGGTCGTTGTCTTCGCTCTCCCTGGAGCCTTCACTCCCACCTGCTCCAGCACCCACCTGCCCGGGTACGAGAAGCACTACGACGAGATCAAGAAGGTGGAGGATGTCTGCCTGCATGAGGAGCAAGTGACGGTCGTTGTGCTCGCCAGTGCGGAGTCGACGAGGTCTACTGCTTGTCTGTCAACGATGCCTTCGTCATGCGCCAGTGGGGCCTTGCCCAGGTTGGTGGAGGAGGAGGGAAGGAGACGGGATGGGGAGGAGAAGAGAAGAGGGGAGGAGACGAGCGGGTCTGACTTGTTTGCAAGGGATGCGAGGAGGAGAAGACCTCCACTGAGAACCCCCTCAACCCAGGTTGTTTCCCGCATCAAAAAGAGTCAGCGTGCTCGGGGGATGACACGACCTGCAGGAAACTTCAAGAAGGTCAAGCTCCTTCCTGACGGCGCCTGGTAAGAGAGCTGACGGTCTTTTTCCTCGTTCATGTTCTCTTGACTGGTTGTGAGCGCAGCTTGTTCACCCGCGGAATGGGAATGAGCTGCGTCTGGGACTCTGAGAGAGGATTCGGAGAGCGATCCTGGAGGTCTCCTCCTCCTCCCCCTCCTCCTCTTCCTCCTCAATTCTTCTCCCCTCCCTCCCCCTCCCCCTCCTGCTCCTCCTCCTCGTTCTCTTCCTCCCTACCCCCTCTCCTCTTCCTACCACTACCACGATCAGTCACAGAGTTGGTGCTGACATGTGGCGAGTGCAGGTACAGTGTCGTCATCAATGACATGAAGGTCGAGAAGATCTTCGTCGAGGCTGGACAAGTGAACCAGGTGACTATCGCGCCCTCCCCTCTTGCTCCTTCCGCTGATTTCACTCGACAGAACTCCGGCCCCGATCCCTTCGAGGCAATCCCTTGGCAAGAGCCTGTTCCTCCTCCTGACGTATTGTGCTGCAGGTGTCTGACGCCGGTACCATGCTCGGGTACCTCCAGTCTGCCAAGAAGTGAGAGTGACATGTGCCGAGATGCTTGAGGTCGTTGTAGCCAGCTACGTTATGATGTGAAATGAAAGATGGCGCATCATCAGCCTGCTGACTTGGCTCCTTCAAGCATGTTGGATGGGAGGGAGCAAGGGAGGAGGTACGAGATCCTCAACTCCTCCCTTGCCCCTTCCAACTTTGGTGTTGGATGAGGTGAAGGTGGAGGAATCAGAGGGGGTGGGAGACTTGAACGATTATATACCTGTACAAGTGCAAACGTTGAGATGTTGGTAGGGGGAGATGGGACATATTCTACAGGGAGCACAAACAAAACGTCATCTGACACCGTTGTCAAGGCCTTTGAGCAGCGACTGCGCCGTTTCCTGCTCCAGGCTTGCAGCAAGAAACACATGGGCGAAGAATTGAGAAGCCAGGACGAGGGCCGATGAATCGACTCTCTCGTCCACCCCTGAAGCTCCTCGTTAATTCTCCATCCTCCGTCTCCGTGATCCTCCACATTCTCCTTTCCACCTTCGTGCATCTCCACCAGAACCGTACCCGTACCCACACTCGTCCCTTCCTCCCCGCTCCTTCCTCTCTCCTTGTATTTCTTCCCTGGCAATCCTCCGCTCGCTCTACCACCTCCCAACCCCCTCCGTATCCTGCCCGACTTTCTCACCCTCTCTGCCTATCCGTCTCCTCGTTCTCAACCTCTCCCTCTCGTCACCGTGGATGGTTGCAAGATCTTCAGGCGTCCAGATGAAGGGGTTGTACTTGTAGATTCTGCCTGCTGCGATCTCATGGTAATGGCGCGAGTCAGAGAGAGCGATGAAGAGCGAAGGCGAGATGACAACGTCCCCTTGCGTCGCTCTGTACACCAAGCTCATTCCACCACCACCTCCTCCTCCTCTTCATCCACCACCACCCCTTCCTCCTCCTCCTCCTCCTCCTCCTCCTCCTCC